GGGCAGGAGAGGGCCGACCCTGCCCCCCACACTGGTGGTCAGTTCACAGGAAGCCCCCTCCCCAGCTGGCTGAGCTACCCGCCCTGGGCCCACCTCCCACCTCCCACCCCCGGCCCGGAGCTGAAGAATAAAGGCCACTTGGTCTAACCGCTGGTGATTCCTGTGGTGCGGCGAGCCTGGCGCCACCCCTGCTGTCCCGCACGCACGCCGGGCTGACCCCAAAGAGAAGCGCGCCTCTGGGCAGAGCGCTGGAAGCCCGTGCTGCCTGGGCTGGGCGAGGCCCAATGGAGCTTAACCAGAGAACCTGGAAAGTACTTGATGGGGGTCGCCTGGGCAGATAAGGACAAGGGGCTGATCGAGGGAAGTGGCACGAGTTGAGAGGCTGCAGATGGGGGCAGGGAAGCAACTGGAAATGAGGTCAGCTTGCCAAGAGCCTGAGATGCCAGGCGGGGGAGGAGGGACCCTAGCCAGAGCGCACAGGGAGCCACCCAAGTGCTTAAAGCCACAACGGACGCGGCGGCAGCACGCCCCCTCTGGTGGTCAGGAAGAGTAACGGCCTAGGTCCGCGACTTGTGCACAGGCTGCTAGGTCGAGTAGGAGCGCGTGGACCTCCAACACAACTGGAGGATGTCCGAGGTGGGGTCCCCCACAAGGCGTGCTCTACTAAGACCGAGACAGGCCAAAGGCCGGGAGGAGCTCAGCCCGAGTCCAAAGCTTTCGACAAACTCAGAAAAGGATCTGGGGTGGACACTCAGTCCTGGAGTCAGGGAGCGTCCATACTGGCGCACGATAGGTTGGACTTTGCTGGTATCCCAGGAGAACGGTTGCTAGGAGACCATGCTAATGAAGGACTCACCCACTACCCAGATGGCAAGCTATACGGCTTCATGCCAGAAACCAAGCCCTTGCTAAGCAACCATTTTAGAATCTGGCAAAATTCAGTTTCCGGGGCGAAATCAGACCAATTCGATACACGCGGAGAGAAGCAAAGGGAGAATACCAACTAGGACCCAAGGAAAAGGGTTACCTGCCCCTTTTATTTTCCGGAGTCTCGCAAAAGGTTCGGGCGCCCTCTGCCCCTAACCAAGATGGCCGCCCAGGAAACTCGGGGCACGTGGGACATGGCGGCGCTTCCGGTCCCAGTGCCCTCAGTGAAGATGGCGGCAGTGGAGAAGCGGCGGCCGGCGGTAGCACCGGCGGCCAGTTTCACGGACAACGGCCGGCCGTCGGTGTCCAGGGCGCAAGCGGCCGCCGAGAATGAGGAGGACTTCCTGCGGCAGGTCGGCGTGACCGAGATGCTGCGCGCGGCCCTGCTAAAGGTTCTGGAGGCGCGGCCCGAGGAGCCCATCGCCTTTCTGGCGCACTACTTCGAGAACATGGGCCTGCGCTCTCCGGCAAGCGGCGGCGCCGGAGAACCCCCGGGACAGCTCCTGCTGCAGCAGCAGCGCCTGGGTCGCGCGCTGTGGCACCTTCGCCTGGCTCACCATTCACAGAGGTGCGGGCGGGGCGGCGGCCAGACTCCAGTTCCCGGCCTATGGCGGGGCGCGGGGCACTCTGGGAGTTGTAGTTCGCGGCCTCCTGGCCGGAGCCGGTGGGCTGGTATTGCGCTGTATTTCCGGGCGCGGAGCTTGCTGGGAGTTGTAGTCCTCGCCTCCTGGGCAGAGTGGAGCTGCTACTTCGCCCTCGGTGCTGGCTGCGGGCTGGTGCGCGTTTCTGCTGCAGCTGGGGGCTTTCTAAGTCGGAGGGTACCGTGTCCCTTAAGCCAGAAACGAATAACTAGACCTGGAGATTGACTAAAGCCGAGCGTGGCCAGCGGGAGGAAAGCCTGGAGTGGGGCGAGCTGGCGAGACGGGGCTCCTGGTCTGTGTCCCGCATGGGACGGTGCTGAACTCCCAAGGTGGCCCAGTTCCTGAGTGAGGGTTGCAGCAGACGGGGAAGCTGTCCAACACGCAGCATCAGCCCTGGGCGACTGTCTGGGGCTGGGCGGAGTGATGGGAGTGGAGGGGAGTAGGGCTGCTCCTTGGCATGAGGAGCCCACAGCGGGAAGGGGGACTGGATTGCCTGAGACAGCGCTGGGCTGGGGCCCTTGTAGACTGGAGGATTTGAGAAGGCCTCAGGAGAGAAGAGCAGAGCCCGCAGAAAGGGTGGGAAGGCAAAGCCAGAGATGAAGAGCCAGGAGAAGTGGCCTCAAGGAGGAAATTGATCAGTGACGGGGCTCCATATGTGGTGGCTCAGGTCCAGCACAGCTGTCACAGATGAAGATGTTTGTGTTCATCTCGTAGGGCTGGTGGGCATGGTGGCACACATCTGTAATCTCATCAGCTCTGGAGGCTGAGGCAGGAGAGTCATAGGTTCAAAGCCAGCCTGAGCAAGTTAGTGAGGCTCCAAACAATTTAGCAAGACCCAGACTCAAAACTTTAAAAAGGGCTGGGGATGTGGCTCACGGTTATGTGCCCCTCAGTTCAATCCCTGGTACAAAAAAAATAATCTAGGGCTGCTTTTTAAAATTACCATAAATTTAGTAACTTAAAACAGAAATTAATTTTCTCAATTGTTGAGGTGGCCCGAAGTCTGAAACCACGGTGTCATCAGGCCCATGTTCTCTCCAGAGGGTCTAGGGGAGGTCTTTCCTGCTCTTCCAGCTTGGTGGTGGCTCGGGTCTGTAGTGCCCCTTGGTGGTGACTAATAACTCCATCTCCCAGTCCTCCCCCCTTGGCCTTCCGTCTGCTTTGTAAAGACACTAGGTGTTGGATTGCAGCCCATCCTTCTCCAGCATGACCTCATCTTACATCTGCAAAGGCCCCTACCTGAGGTTCTGGATGATATGATATCCCTGGTCCCCCAGAATGGAAGTGTCACAGCTGTTGGCTAGAGTTCAGTCAGAGTGGCAGGGGCACAGGAAGCAGATAGTGGGTGCTTGTGGCAGATATGATGGCCCTGGGGTCACCTGGCTTCCCAGGGACCAGCCAGGAGTGAATGAATAAGACAGGTTCCCATGTTGTCCGATCGCGCTCATGGGTCCAGGCCTGCTCCTGTCCTCCCTCAGACATCCCAGCCACTGCCTCCCTCAGACAGCAGGCAGGAGCTCTCGGCCGGTGGAAAGGGGCAGAAGCCCAGGGCCAGGTAGCTGTCTGCTGTCCCCCAGTACTTGAGGCTGAGCTGAAGATGCCAGGTCTGGGAGAAGTCACCTTGGCCCTCTCTGCTGGCCAGCAAGGCCACCTGGAGCACAAGAATGTAGGTGTCTGAAGGCCACATGGCTGGCCACCACAGGGCAGAGCCAGGAGTCGGACAGCTCAGCCGATGGGGCCTCCTTGGCTACCTCATGGCTGATGAGAGGGACTCTTCCACAGTGTCCCTGAACATGTTGTCACCAGAAAAGTACTCATGGAGGACTGGCTGGTCTTGGGTAGGGCCCAGCCTCAGCCCACTGTGGTGGGCACCCTGGACACTGCAGGGTGCAGAGCAGAGTCCCTGGCCTCTACCCACCCATACCACACACTCCCCCGTTGGGACCACACGTGTCTGACATGGCTCAGGGTCTCCACTGAGAGCCACTGGTCGAAGGTGAAAATAGACAATGTGTTCTCTTCCCTAGCAAGTGCGGGCGAGCTTTGCCAGCTGTCCTGGCTGGCTGCCCGACCTGACCTGCAGAGCAGAGGGGAATGGTGCCGTGCTCTGTGCACCTGTCATCTCTGGGTGGTGCAGCAGGACACCCTCAGGGGGAGTGAGGCAGCCTGGAAGGAGGTGCCTCTCCTCCCTTTCTTGCCCCTTCCTGGGTGTCACCTTGATTCACTGGTTGCAGTCACACCTCAGTGCCTCCTGGTCATGGGGCGGAGCCTTTGCTGTGGTTACTGCTGAGTGCTTCCTGGACATGGGGCCAGGATCCTGCTCAAACAGCATCTGAGCCACAGACGGATGGGACTCCACACACTGGGCACGGCCCCAGGTCTGTGGCGCACAGTCTGCTCCATCCTCGCAAGGATCTGAAATGCAAGGACCAGGCTGGTACCCTCCTAGTGAGGAGGGTGAGGTCCTGACAGGCAGGGACTTGCCCAGGTGTGGCAGCCGCAGAGCCCTGCATGCCCATAGTGCCCCGTGGTGCTCCAGGAGCCACAGGGGCCCAGTTCCTGCCCCCCAGCCACCGCCTCCAGGGAAAGGAGTCAGTGCAAGAGAGTGGGTGGGCAGGCAGAGGGCAGGAGACCTGTGCCTGAGGCCCACAGAGGGAAACCAGGTGCAGGCTGGATGTGGGGCCAGGACGCCCCTTCACACACAGGATGGAAAACCCCACACCGGGTGGCTGCAGCTCAGCCGGAGGCTCCAGCTGCCCCGGAGGAGTCTGTGCCTGCCAGCAGGGATGGTTTAGCTCTGGGTGTTTAGCCCGGAGTGGGCCCTGAGAAGTGTGGGATGGGGCTGGCAGTGGCCTCCCTCAGATTGTGCCACTGCCCAGCAGGAAGATAGATCCTTCGGGGCTGCTCTGTTGCCACCCCCCTCACCCCGCTTGCTTAGCCCGGTTGTGATGTCACTGTGCCGTCCCTGCGAGAAGACCCAGGGCTGGCTGCCTCCAGGGCTGTTGAGAGGCTGTGCGGGTGCAGTCAGCATTTGCAGCCTGCACACCACTGGCCTCCAGCGCTTCACAGTGCCAACACAGAGCCGCAGATGGCAGCCGGCCAGGAGGTCGAGAACCCAGCCCTAGGAGGCTGGGTCTGGCCCCCACTCTGCCTTGGGGCTATCCCTGCAAGCACTCTGCAGGGCATGCCCATTCCTAACCCTGACCTGGGCGGCAGCACTTGCCAAGCCCCTGCCACACTGATGCTGGGGAGGTGGAATGATGTGCCCCAAGGCATGAGGCCTGTGTCCAGCTGCTTCCTGTTGGTTCTCTTCCTGCTCCGAACTACAGTGGCCCCATACCTCTGGGACCCACAGGATGGCCGCTGTGAGGGCTCTGCTTGTGCAGGCTCACAGGCCTCAGGCTGCTGGTGGGCCTGTTCCTGTGAACAGGCATGGCCAGTCACACGTGTGGTTTGCCTGTGGGGTTGTAGGGACAAGGCCTCTGACCCATGAGGGCAGCAGATGCCCATGGCTTGTCTGCCAGTCATCCAGCAGAGAGGGCTGTGCTCTGAACACCAGGGCTTGAGCAGTGGCAGGCACCTGCCCTGGTGGGAAACAGGGGACCCGGGAGGCTCTCAGGGTGAGTTAGGCAGCCACCCCTGGGGAGAGGGGACCTGGGAGAGGCGAGGGATCTGGGCCGGCCAGCATCTGCCCAGGAGGCGGTGGCCACAGCTCCCAACCTTGTCCTACCCACAGGACAGCCTTCAACAACAACGTCAGCGTGGCCTACGAGTGCCTGAGTGCCGGCGGCCGCAGGAAGAGGCCGGGGCTGGATGGCCGCACCTACAGCGAGCTGCTGAAGCGCATCTGCAGGGATGGAGAGGCCCCGGAGGAGGTGGTGGCCCCACTGCTGCGCAAGATCCAGTGCCGCGACCATGAGGCGGTGCCGCGGGGCGTCTTCCGGGCAGGCATGCTGACCTGCTTTGTGCTGCTGGACTTCGTGGCCCGGGCAGGAGCCCTCTTCCGGCTTCTTGAGGCCCCAGGCCTGGCAGTGGCTGACCGCCGTGTGGGCCAGGCCGTTCTGGACACCCTTGAGGGGGCCCTGGGGGCTGGTGACCACACTGCTGTGCCTGCATGCTACCTGGAGGCCGGCTCGCGCCTGGGACCCGACAGCCTGGCGCTGGCCCTGGACCGAGCAGCGACCGGCCGGAGGCCCAGCTCCCCCATGTCCCGAGAGGAGTTCCTGGAGAAGGCAGCCGCCCTCTTCATCGCCAAGGTCAAGCCAGTGGGCTGAGCCTGCTCCTGGGAGAGGCGTGGGACCGGCCCAGGACAGAGCATTCCCACCCCTGCACTAGGACAGGGCCACCAGGACACTGCACCCCCACAGCTGTGCACCCACACTCACAAGCCCAGCTCAGCTGAAATAAAGTCTGTGGAGGCCTGTGTGCATGCACATGTGCGTGTGCGTGTGTGTGTGTGTGTGTGTGTGTGCACACGCGCACCGAGTGGGCCCACTGCCCAGCCAGCCCATTCCTCTGGAGCGTGAGTCTCCTTCTACAGCCCTGCCCACTCCAGTGGCTCCTCTTGGGCCTCAGTTTCCCTAGCCATCCAGCAAAGAGAGCAGCTGGCAGCGACACGAGGGATGGCAGTGGACTCTCCACCCCTCCTCATCCCTCCCTGCCTGGAAGAAGGCAGCTGCGAGAGGAGACCAAGGGCCAACAGGCTGGGGCCCTCCAGAGTCACACGGTGCCACCTCCATCAGCGGTCCCCCCAGCTCCCTGTCAGCACTTCATGACTTCAGGCATCTGTACCCACACACCCAGAGCCTGGCCCCCACCTCCCTCCTACCTAGGACTGACAACCCCACTCTGCCTGAGAGGCCAACGCAATGGGTCTGTTGAATCTGTCTTCTCAGACTGGTGGGTAGCCCCAGCCGCTCCCCAGTCCAAGTCTGGTGTAGGTTGGGTGGCCGGTGAGTAGTGTCGGGAGTGGTGCAGCCCTGCTGCCAAGCAGAGCAGCATCAGGCTCCTGTTCCCACTCGAGCTCTGGAGGCAGGCGGTGAGTGAAGCCTGTGCTCCCAGCAAACTCCATAGCAGGAGGCTAGGGACGGAGCCACTTGAACCCCCAGCCGAGCAGAGAGGGCAGCCAAGCGTGAGCTCTCAGAGGACTGGGACGCTCAGAGGCAAGCATGGCTGGCCAGCCCAGGAGACACTGCACTGGGCCCAGCCTCCCTGCCGTCCAGCCATCTCCAAGGCATTGTGGTGTTCTGCAAGAGGGGCCTCGTCCTCAGGAGTGCCCCACGTGGATATGACCTCTCACAGCCCCAGAGCCAAGCACCTCCTAGGTGTCTGCATGGGGACACCCTGGGGCTGCCCCAGGATCCTGGGCATGAGCAGTGGCCCCATGCTCCCTGTCCCACCAGCCCACCCCTCCCCTGCCACCTGGGCACCACTGGCCAAGTGGAGCATTCCAGTGTCCCCTGGCTTCCACGATTGGCTTGGGGCAGGTGTGTGACACAGCATGACACTGTCATCTGGGAACATAGTGCTAGGGCACTGATCTGGGAGCAACTGGTGGGACTCTTCAGCCACTGTGTCACCAGAAGTTGCTGAGAGCCCAGCTGCTATTTGCCTCAGTCCCCTCCTGCCCTCTGCCCTAGCCTGTCTCCACCTTGCTGTGCAACACAGGACTTCAGACCCACAGGGCTCTTACTCATCCCATGCTGGTCCACCCCAGGGTCACCTGCCAGGAGGCGCCTACCTGAGCTCCGGCCACACCTCCCGCTGCTGCCCCTGCTCTCCAGCCCTTGCCTGCTGCCTACTCCCTCGCTGCTGTTCCTCCCTCTCCCACTTCTTTCCTGCTATTTCTTGCCTTTGCTGCCCCTGCCCTTGTAGATGTGTGGTATTGAACCCTGCGTCTCAGGGAAAAGTACCTACTGTGTCACTGCCCACAGGGACAGAGCCACCTGGGACAGGGTTTGTGACATGTGGGTGCTCTGCCATTGAGCCACATCCCCAGGCCTTTTTTGAGACAAGGTCTCCCTAAGTTGCCCAAGCTGAGCTGGAACTTGCAACCCTCCTGCCTCAGCCTCCAGGGTCAAAGGTGACAGGTGTGACCACTGTATCAGCTCTGCTTTTTTACACACAGGAAATACTATTACCCCAAGCGGTTTGTTCACAAGCTTGCTCACCCTCTGTCCAGAGCCCCCTAAGGCAGGGATCCCCAGCACCTAAGTTTTGTACACAAGAGGAAAAGGGAAGGAGGAAGAGAGTTAAATTACCACAAATTCCCACAAGTGGGTGCAGCACCTCTGACTCTGGCCCTCCTGCCTCCTCTCATGAGGACCCTGTGGTGACCCTGGGTCCCAATGACCAGGGTGACCCAGCTCAGGGTCCTTCGCTGATGCCACCTCAGAGCCCCTGCTGCCCCTGCATGGCAAATCCAGGAACACCAATGGGATTCTCAGCATCATCTCTGCCCTTGGGCTCAGCTTTCCTGCAGCTCCCCTTGTTCACAGGCCACAAGTGAAGAAGCCCTCCAACTTGGCCAAGGCAGGTCCCCAAGTTGCATCTCATTAGATGCCCAAGCCAGTCCCTGCAACCTGGGAGCGGGGACACTGATGGGACAACCTGGCCCTGCAGCTCGGGCTTGGTGTCAGTCTAAACCTTCAGTGCCCCCCCAAGGGAAGAGTGCTGTGGCAAAAAATGCCCCCTGCTCATCACTCCAGGATGTTCCAGGGTCAGGAGCAGTCCCCTGCCTGCCCATGGGGGCAAGGGGTGTGGGGAGATTTGGGCAACTCAAAGGAAGAGCCAGGGTCAACTCCAACTATTGTCTACTGATGAGCTGCCTCACACCAACTCTGTGACAACAAGGACAGCCCACCTCAGAGAACGGGGTCCATGAACACTCCACGCCCAAGAGGGCACACCAGGCAGGCAGCACTGACCTCCCAGGTTGTGGGGCAGAAGGGCCTGGGAGGAGGGCCAAGGGCAGCTCTGAGCAGTACGTGGAGCTGTCACTGACCAGGGCTTCCTTAGATTCCTCTGCCTACCTCACCTCTGATGTTTCCTTTCCCATTTCCAGCTGAGATGGCAGCTTCAGAGGGCAGGGACTGGACATGAGGGAGCCGCCCCCCACCCAGCCTGAGGCTTGCCACAGCTGCCCAATGCGCAGCACTTGTGCCAGCCACGTCATGAGAAGCCCCAGGCAGCAGGTTCTCCCTGCCAGAGGCTTGCTAAGCTGCCATTGCCACACCAAAGTCCAGGTGGCCAGGAGGTATCTGAACAGGACCCAGCAGGCCAGAGCTCAGGGTCAGTGGAGCCCAGGGTCAGGGGTCTGCTGGCCTCTTGAGCCCGGTTTGCCCCACCTCAGGGTCTTTGCAAGGCTGTTTCCCTTCATGCGCACTTCCTCCAGGTACCTCCTCGCTGCCTCTGGTCGTCGTCTCACGCAAGACTCAGGTGGGCTCAAAGAGGAGAGCACCACCAGTCATGGTCCAGGCTCCACCAGGTTGGGTGGAGGCCAAGGTGGGGTGTCAGGGTGGAGCCTAGGCTCCACGGGGATTTTAGGGGAGACCCTCAAGGTGGGGGATCAGGGTGGGTGCTCAGACTCCATCGAGGGGTCAGGGGGCCAGGCTCCATTAAGTAAGGAAAGGCCAGGCTCCGTCACGGTCGGGAGCCGGGGTCCACCAGGTGGGCCCTGGCGTGAATCGAGTGCAGAACCAAAGCTGCCAAGAGGATGCCCAATGGCTTCGCAGAAAGCCCGCGGATCGCCCGCTC